TAAAGAGGTGCTGGAACTTTCAAGACAGAAATGAAGTTTTCAATCTGCATACTGAAAACTCATGAACTTTTAAACATGGAATTGTGTTGAAGAAGTTCCAGAACTCCGTTCCGGTGCATTGCCCCGGAAAAAAAGCCCTGGCCCAGCTGAGCATAGCATGACCAGCAACTTTTTTACTACTTTGCACTGTTCCTGCTTGGGTTAGGTTTAATTTTAAAAATACCCAGGAAGTAACACTTCCAGTTGTGATTCAGATCACTGACTCTGCGGGGAAAAATGCACAGCTTGTTTCATCAGAAGTAAGCACCGACCACCAGTTCAAGAGCCGAAGATTTCCTATGCCAGTTTTAGAGGGGATAAGCTGACTTTCTGCTTGGAATGATCCATTCGCAGCTGAGACTGGGCAATCCAGAAAGGTGCTGCCATTGCATTGGATAGGGCTATAAATAGAAGCTGCAATAAGGAGGTGGGATTCTCTTATTTGGCAGGACACATGGGATGCATAATAACAGTATGGCACAACTCTGCAAGGGTCTTGTTCTCGGGCTCTCTTTGCAGTGCACTGTTCAGAAATGTCCTCTGATGCTCCAACGGCAAAGGAAGCTAAATGAATGTCTGAAGCCACTCGCTTGGTCTTGAACAGCAATGACAGGCAGAGGCGCTTCTCGGCTTTGGTTGACTTTCAGGCTCCCAAGTGTTTGGGCTCATCAGGCTGGAGTTTCATGAGTTTTTCAATGCAGAAGAGGATGAGCGTGAGAAACCACAGGCTCCACCCAACGGCAGCAGCAATCCAGCCATATTCATCTACTCCGAGGTGGCAGCATTTGGCAGCTTCTTGACAGAAATCCACATCTGATGGCAGAGAAAAGGTGGCCTACATAATTAACTGACAGTACATGTATCTGTGCATCAACCAAACATAGAATGCTGGGCCCATAGACCCCTGACTTGACTGTACCACATGCCAAGGCCTAGCCTTCACTTCTCACATTAGGATCTAGGTGGTTCTCCTGCACTAGGAAGGCTTTTGAGATAGAGTGGCTAGAGGGGTGGTGTTCAGGGGTAGGGAATCTGGTCCACTTGGCCATAAGGAACTCTGGAGAAATTACCATAGGCTGACCTGTAAGTTTATCCAGTGGTGTGTGAATTATTTTCATGTGACTAGAACCCATTTTACTCTGGTACCATACGATTCGTATGTATGATGGTGTTCTGTCCAAGACCAGGGTCAATTTAGGAGTATACGCCAACCTATTTGTCCTGAATAAACATTTTCCCTTGTTTAAGAATAATTCTGAGTTTTGCCTTGGAGAATCAACACACTCCTCATCCAGCTTGGTCTTTACTCTTCAGTGGTATTCTTTTTCTTATCCCTTTCATTAAATAAGGCAGGCTTGATACCAATTTAGTTTTCGTTTATGGTAATTAGTGATCAATGGTAAGGTGAGCTGTGTTCTTCCCTAACCTGTGGAAGGCTCTCAGAAGATAGCAGCAAAGATGTGGGCTTAGTGTTAAGGCTCATGTCTATATTTACTTACTTCTGCCCATCATCCTAGAGTTGTTTCTGAGACAGCAGCCATGGTTCTTTAACTAGTCTGAGCTTTCAACACCTGTATAAACTTATCTCTCTATTTTTTTGGTGCAATTCTTTGGTGGCTGAAGTATGGTTGTATATTGTGGGTAATCTGGTCCTTATCTGTTCTTTGGATTTTCAAGACAGTTTATAGTTAAATAGGGCTAGATCTGAAAGAGAATCAGTGGAACCAGCTAAGTGAGGCAGAAAGGTTCTGGAAACAAAGAACTGGCAGGAAATTAGTGGCAACAAGAGAGGCCTTGGGTGCCTTTAAAAAGGGGTGCAGTTGGCTTTAAAGTATGATTGGCTTTAAAGTATTATTATATAACAGCCATCCATCTTGGTTCAGGTCTCGAAATAACTAGGATTATATCGGCCCCAGTCACACGGGCCGGAAAATGCGGGGGGGGGGACGCATGCCTGTTTGCCCCAGGGCAAAATAACACGTGGTTGCACGATCAGACGTCCCGTGGAGGTCCTGTGGTTAGGGGGGAGGTGCTGATCAGACGGCTAGGCAGCAGCAGGACTACTGAATGGCCGGCGGGACATCACGGCCCGGACAGGCCCTGCGGAAGGGCACCGGGTCCTGTGGGCTGCCGGCAGTGGAGGCCAGGCTGAGGAGGCCGATGGGACAGACACCCCCGCCCCCGGGGTGGTCCAGGAGATCCTCCCGGCTCCGCTCCGGAGGTCTGGAAGAGCACTTCGCAGAGCCACCCACACACGTGCTCCGCCGCCGCCATTAAAAACGGGAGGCGACGATGATGGCCAGGAACGACACCCCGCCGCCGCCGCTGCCCCCAATGGCGGAGAAACCCGCCCCCCCCCCAAGGACCAGCCCCCCCCCCCGAGGGGAGCCTTCTCTCCGCTCGGCCTCGCCACCCCCTCCGCCACGATGGCTGCTCCCCCCCACTGCATTCCTCCTCCTCCTCCTTCTGTGGCCAACGCCGCTTCCTCGTGTGCATGCACCATTGGGTGCTTTTGCGCATCCTGGAGACTTGGGGGGGGAAACCCTTGACGGGACATGGGCGGGCGCCTGATGCCACTCACTACCACCGGAAACGCGATCAGACACCTGCCCTTGCCCCGCGGTTTCTGGAAACTAGTACCTCGGAGATACTAGTTTTTTAAACCGCATCTTCGGCGGAAAGCCTTGGGTGAGCCACGAGAGCTCTACGCTTCCCAGATGTGGTGGTGTGATCGCGCCCAGAAAATCCGCCTATCTTCCATCTCTCTAGTGTGGCTAATGCTCCATGTGATCGCAGCCATCACTGACTTTGCAACAAATTATAATGTTGCTATGGTGAAGTTCTATTTTAAAAAATGAATTTTAAAATAAAGGGCTACCTACTATTAAAGTAGTGACTAATTCTGCCAAAGAAGTATATTGCATGTTACCAAAGTCACAGCAGAAAGCCCTAATCAGCAGTAAGTTCCCACAATGTGTGTACCTTCAGCAAAATAGCTGTGTGGTCATTTATCTCACATGTGGTTGTGTGCACATCGTTCTCTAACTAAAAGCAATATTGATGTTATAAATTAATTGCTTGTGGAGCAACCCTCTGAAACAGCAGATCCTTAGTGAATCTGGAGCATTCATGGTGTTTCTTTACCTAAACGCAAGGCAATTTCTGTTACACACAAACTGGCCTTTTCAAAACGTGTCTGAGTCAAGGTCACTGGTGCACTTTAAGAAAAACACACTTACTAAGGCATGGGATCGATTCCGAAGAATTTTCAGCGTGGTGTCCAGTCTCTAGAAAGGAAGGGAAGAAAGGTGTTTGTTAGAATGAGAAACTCAAGGCTCAGCTTGGTAGGATATGGTCATTCCACCTCCACCTATATGTATCAGTTAAGGAATGACTTCATGAGAAGTGATGGGTTTTGAGAAGGAATTTCAGGTAAAATGAGAGCTGGCCTCATGGAGATTTTGCATCTTTTTGTATAAATTGTTTAATTAAGATGTAGCCAGCAGGATTTGACAAAATCCAGAGATGTCCTCATCATATCGTAATTATTTTTCCGTCCTTTGATATATTCAGTTGCTTTACATTAATACTCACAACAGTCCTGCCAGGTAGCTGATCACTGTTCTGTGGTTAATGCTCACATGCTCCCCACCCCACCCCGCCTTCAAGCAGCACAATAAGACTGAAGACAGTGTTGGAATGGCAACAGCATGTGAGCACTTTCATTAACATAACAGGATGTGTTTAGTACCTTGGACTGCAAGAAGATCAAATCAGTCAATCCTAAAATAAATCAACCCTGACTGTTCCCTGGAAGGCCAGATATTGAAGCTGAAGCTCAAATACTTTGGCCACCAAATGAGAAGGGAGCACTCACTGGAAAAGACCCTGGTGCTGGGAAAGACTGAAGGTCAAAGAAGACGGGGACGGCAAAGGATGAGATGGTTAGACAGTGTCACCGATGCAACGAACATGAAATTGAGCCAACTTCAGAGGACGGCGGAAGACAGGAAGGCCTGGCGGGATCTGGTCCATGGGGTCGCAAAGAGTCGGACTCGACTGTGCGACTGAACAACAACAAATGTGTTTAGTCCATTTGCACTCTAGGGGAAGCTGTATCGTATACCTCTACTGTTCAGAACCTTACAAATGCTCCTTATGTTTGTCCCTGCTCCTTGTTGTGCTTCCACTCTGCCTGTAAATTAGTTCTTATAACCTGAATGCCTCTGCTGTAGGGCTTAGTGTTGCCAACCTTAAGGTGGGGCTTGGTTACAACTGACCTCCAGAATACAAAGATCAGCTCCTCTGGATAAAATGGCAGCTTTGGAGGGCAGGCGCTACGGCATCACACCCCTGCTGAGCTCCTTCACCTATCCAAATTCTGCCCTGTCCAGGCTCTGCCTTCAAATCTCCATGAATTTCCCGAGCATGAGTTGGCAATCCAAAGGCAATCCAAAGCATCTCTCAATGCATGGAACTTTGGGCTCCCAACTTCCAGGTAATACCTGGAGATCTCCAGTTCCCCTGGAGAAAAGGACTGCCTTGGAGAGTGGACCCTATGGCACTAATACCCTGCTGAGACCCCCAAACCCTGCCCTCCCCAGGTTCCATGCCCAGAATCTCCAGATATTTCCCGATCCAGAGCTGGATTTTTCCCCCAACTCTGCCAATAGACAAACATGAAATTCAATTTGACATGCTCAGATATGGGTGCCTGAACTAACCAGGGCTTGTTCCCTCTCAAATAACTAGAATTCTTAATCCAAGTTAACAGTACCATCCTTCAGCCGGGAGAGTGGGATAGAAATCTAATAAAATCCTAAACAGAGTTACACCATTCTAAGTCCATTGAAGAAAGAAAACTGTGATTGTGCTTAGGGCAGTTCTGCAAGAATCTTAATTACTGTGAAACAAAGTAACTCCACTAAATCCAGGCATCTGCATTTGAGTAAATAGTGTATTACTGTCTGCAAGTAGTTTTTGTATTGCACTTTACTTGAAGTTATTTGGGCACATTTTTGTCTTAGCATTATTCCACAGAGCTCATGCTGTCCTACATATGTCTCCACCTTGGGCTGCAAACAAAGCCTAAATATTAAGTCATAATCGTCCCTTTGGTAGCCATACCTTTGCCTTCTCTTGCAATAAATGTTGTTAGTCTTTAAAGTGCCACTGGGCTTCTGTTTTAATTTGCTACAAGAGACTAACACAGTCTGAAAACTTTAGCATATAAATTGCAAAGGGTGAACTCACTAGAAAAAGCAATTACGCTTGGATTGGTTAGTGGCAAAAGGAAAACGGGCCACCAAAGAACACGGTGGCTAGACACCATAAAAGTCAACACCAGCCTGAGCATGGAACAACTCAAAGAAACAGTACAAGATAGGGAAACATGGAGAGAGCTAGCCCATAGAATTGCCCAGAGTCCGACACGACTGAATAGCTAACAATATTGTCAGCGCTATTAATAATTTTATTACCATCTCTTGTTGTAGTAAGACTATTTTTTAAAAGTGCTATGACCACTAATACAGAAGTGGTCTTTATCTTTTTGTGTAAATTTATGGTTCATTTCCAGTGTTTGCACATTCATTTCCAGTGTTTGCACATCCAAAGGCCTCATTTCCAATACCATTCCATGAAGCATCCTACATGACTAGAGTTTAGCCTTTTCTGGACAGGTACTGGTGTGCTTTGATGGGAGCACTGGTGGTGGAAAATGCTGTCAAGTGGCAGCCTGACTTATAGCAACCCACTTTGGGGTTTTCAGGTCAAGAGATGTTCAGAGGTGGTTTGCCATTGTCTGTCTCTGCATAGCAACCATCAATCTCTTTGGTGGTCTCCCATCCAAGTACTAACCAGGGCCAACCCTGCTTAGCTTCGAAGATCTGACAAGATAGGGGTAGCCTGGGGCATCCAGGTCACTGCTGATGGGAGCATTAGCATGCCCAGGTTTGTGCAAGTAACACCAAATCATTGCTTCATAACAAACTACAAACACGAATAATACCACAGAACACCAGCCTCCAACGTAACCAACAAGCTTCTGAAAGACAGGTAACCATTAAAGAGAGTTGCTCTAGCCTTCTCCCTGTTTCAGACCACATAGAATAATTCACCAGACTCACCTATAGGCCTGATTGTAATAAACAGCTCCAGTATTGCTTACACATTAGAGGTGGAGCTGACTTATGATGACTCCTCATGCGGTTTTCAAGGTAAGAGATGAACAGATAAGATAAGCATATGGAGCAGAGGTCCATCAGTGGCTATTAGCCACAAGGTATAGATAGGGACTCTGGGGCAAGTGATGCTCTGTCATCTTGGTGCTTGGGGGGGTCAACAGTGGGATGGCTTCTAATGTCCTGGCCCCACTGGTGGACCTCCTGATGGCACTGGTATTTCGGGCCACTGTGTGATACAGAGTGTTGGACTGGATGGGCCTTTGGCCTGATCCAACATTGGCATCTCTTATGTTCTTAACAGAGTTGGTTTACCATTGCCTGCCTCTGCATAGCAACCCTGGACCTCCTTGGTGGTCTCCCATCCAAATACTAACCAGGGGTGACCTTGCTTAGCTTCTGAGATCTGATGAGATCGGGCTAGCCTGGGCTGTCCACTTTAGGGTGCTTACGCATTATCATTTAACTCTACCATATAATTAGAACAGATGGCCTTATTTGCCATTTAAGCTTTAATGTATCCAAAATCAAGATTTGGAATTTTACTTATCCCACTAAAATGTCTTTGCGTCCTCTGCCCATGCTATTGCAACTTGAAATAGTGCCCAGTCCCATTAGTATCAGCAACATTTCCCAGCCCCCATTCAGTAATGCTGCACCAAAATTATTTGTCCTGTGTTAATGGCGATTTTCATAAATTCTACGATCTCCAGAACTGAATACTGTAGGATAGTCCAGGCAAGCTAGTCCTCAAAGTAAAGATCTCATCGCTAGTCAACTTCTGCTATATTTGATTTTTTTTGAGAGAGAGATTATCAGTAATCATTAACCTTATAACTAACTGAACCACCTTGAGGTATCTTGGAGCTCATTTACTTGACCAAATGGGCATGTGGAATCCCCCCCAAAGGCTGAAATAAGACAGCCAAAGTCCTTGGTGAGCCAATTGTGATTTCTAATGCATACTGAAACCTGGGGTCAATTATTATCTCTTTATTCTCCCCCTTCTTCCAGATCCAATCTTGTACATATAACTTCATGAGTCACTAAAAAACCCCACCCTATTTTATTTCCAAAATACCATAAACAGGCCATGTCATTATAATAGCTATGCAACCTGGGCTTTATACCCCCTCCTCAGATTCCACTCTCTCTCTCATCTCTTCCCCCCCACTCTTGGGTCCTGGCTAAAACCTGGCAGCATCCATGCATGAATCATGAGCCACATGCTTTTCATATACTTTTTTTCCTCTGAGGGGTTTTTCTTTTTGGCCATCAACTTGTAGCTGACTTACAGAGACCCCTCATGAGGTTTTCAAGGCAAGAGACATTCAGAGGTGGTTTGCCATCGACTGCAGGGTTGACCTTGCTTAGCTTCAGAAAGTTGATGAGACAGGGTTAGCCTGGGCTATCCAGGTCAGGGCTAGGTGAATATATTTTCTGTCAAGGCACACTGGAGTTTTGTTTTATGTAGCCTGAATTGAGACAAAGGGGAAGGTGTGAGACCCTCTGAAGCCCAGCCTTTTCCAAAGAGCTGAATACTTGCTGCGCTTAACAATTTAAGAGTGTAAGAAAATCCAGACATGCAACCATAGTTGTCTCTTCCTCCTCCCCAACTGCAGTTTTCCAGTTCTACCCACAACCCCGTGCTAATATCCTAAATACAAGCATAGTTATGATAAAAGAATCACCTTCTGAGAAAGACGTCTGGCAAGCCGAGCTTAGCAAGAGGAAGGCAACAGCGATGCAGTTCAGTAGATGCATCCTGGAATTTTGGATCAGAAGCCCTCCTGATCAGGACCGAGGCCGCTGGCAGCAAGCAAAAAGGTGACTCCAGCAGTTCAAGACAAAGTCAAATGTTGTATTTCCAGACCAGGAGTCGGAGAGAATTACATTCCTGTAGCACTCAGGACACCTTGAATTCACCTATTGTATGTTGCCAGAAGGGTTTAACCCAAAACAAAGAAAGCAAATACACACACAGCTGTGTGCCACTGCCAGTTTCTAGGAAAGTTAATACCAAACAGAATTAAAAGCACATTCCTTTGCAATTATGCCTCCACCAAGCTTTTTGAATATCTGTACCTAAAGGTATGCCATGGGCACCATCCTAATATATTTACTGAACAGGCAGGAATCAGTATACAGGTCGTACCCCAGATGAAGACCAACAGCTCAGAATGCGGGGCTGTTTTGTTTTAAGGCAATACATAAATGCACTTTTGCCGCTGTTTCTTCTTTATAGCTGCTGTAGGAAGCCCTTCTAGGTTTTGTTATTTTCCAGAAAAGACACCTCTGCCATACATCAGATGGCAAGCAGCGGGATTAGTGTTTTTCATTGTGAAAGGGGCATATGTCTATGTCAGTCGTAACTTTGTAATAACTGCACAAATCTTACAGTGCATCAAAGAGTAATACCCAGAAGTACCTCACAAATGTACTATAAAGCTGCTCCCCCCCTTTCCTCTGCCCTTCCAGCTCTCTCTGGATGGATTCAAACAATCATTTTTATGTGTGTGTGTGTGTGTGTGTGTAAGTCACAGCTGAGTTATGGCAACCCCAGCAAGGGACTTTAGAAGCAAGTGAGAAGCAGTGGTGGTTTACCATTCCCTTCCTTTGCAGGGCCTTCCTTGGTAGTCTCCCATCCAAGTAATGACCCTGCCTAGCTTCCAAGGTCTTATGAGATCTGGCTCCGCCACGCTGCCTTCCCTCACAATCATTTACCAAGTAATAATTTGTCATGGTAGTTGTACAAAAGTAATAAGAATTTTACCACAAAACTGTACCTTATCAGAATAACAAAGAGAGTGGTGATGATTTATCTACAGTATCTCCATTTTCTTTAACTGATATATTTTGAGCCTACCTCAGTAGCCTCCTAGGGTATCTTACGACAAAGATGACATAAGCAGTGCTTGGATCTTTCAACCAATAATAATATATACAATGAAAGTAGAAGGTTCAAAGTTAAAGCAACTGTTGTCAACGAAAACCATTGTAAGCTCTTTAACCTACTTCAGAGACATGGTGCCACCAAATCAATTCTGAGGGGAGGTCAGTGGTCATCTTGTGTTCAAACCTTCATTTTTTTCCTCAGATGAAAGCGCGCCCGTTAATTCTAAATTCTGCTCTTGCACCGACAGCCAGCATGGCAAGGTAGTTACAGAGCTGGACTAGGATCTGGGAGAACCAGGTCCAAATCCCTGCTCTGTCATGGAAGATTGCTGGGTGACCTTGGAATCAGTCATCCATTCTTGGAGTTGTTGATGGCAAAACGGAGGAGGGATGAATGATGTAGTGAGCAGCTCTGAGGCTTTTTTAGGCAAAAATTTGGTATAAATATCTCAACGAATAAGGACAATGACTTGAGCCCCAGTACTCATCACACATTGCTTAAGGCTTTTCCCCCTACCTGCTGTATATCACTGTAGCCATCCAGTGCTCAGTTCAGAAGTAAAGTAAAAGTGGGATTAGTAAATCGTACATCCTAAAGTTTCCTCTTTTCTGTAAAAGAACTGAGTGTGTCTTGCTGTAATTGTTAGAGAACAGTTGGGACCAATGCTCCCTCTAAGCTATGGAGTCCTGTGAGCAAAAATTCCACTTTGTGAGCTACTGGCATTAGAATTGTGAGCAAGTTATTTGGCTACTGCATAAATTAGTTTGCTCTGGAGCCATTCTTCCTGAGCTAAGACAAAAAAGTGTGAGCCGGAGGCTAAAAAACTGTGAGCCAGCTCACACTAAGCTTAGAGGGAACACTGGTTGGGACACAGACATATTCTTCCTCATCTACTACCAACAACTTCCCCAGTGAGGGGATTGAAACCTGGGTCTCTCAGGTCCTAGTCCTACACTCTAACCATGACACTGTCTCTCTTTGTATGCCCTTGTGTTTTGATTAATACGCATATGCACTGGAGTCCAGAAGCTTCTGCCTTACCCTTGGGGCTTCATCTTCTAGAGTTCTGAGGTGAGATCTGTGCCTTGCGTATGTGGAACTTAATGATGTTTTTGAAAGACAACCCGAATGTTTTCCACAAAAAGCAAAATCAGGGTAGATTTTCACCAGGGGCACAAGGTTGAGATAATATGAATGCCTGAAGGAAATACTATGTTCATTCTTTGCCTGACTTAATATCTTGGTCCTGCTACCACCACCAGCCCCAGCAGGAGAAAAGTGAGATCATGTTTGTCCTGCCACAGCCAACAGAGGGAACGTGGTGCTGAAGGGGGATGGGGATGAGGGAAATGTGGGATGGATGGGATGGGCCCTGTAACAACAGGCAAAGAGGCTTACAGTGTAAATGAAAATAAATGGCAATATAAACATGAAAGATAAAGCATACCTATAGTAAGCCTATAAATATAAACAGGGAGCGGTGGCACAGGCAGTAAGAATGCCTGCAGTAACATCTATGAATAGCCATTACGGCTGTTCGAGACCCACCGTGGCCGGGGTGAGCTCCTGGCCCTAGTCCCAGCTCCCGCCCACCCAGCGGTTCGAAAGCATTAAATGGAGCAAGTAGATAAATGGGTACATGCCCCTAGGTGGCAGGGGGCACCCTCCTCCTTGTGGGGTGTGCTGCAGAGGCACCAGCGACAGTG